GGAGTTAGGTCTTCATTTAGAAGAATTATGATGTCTCATGATGAAAGCCAACTTCCTTTGGAAGTTACGAGGCCGATGGCCCTTCTAATAGCCAGAGCCTTTCCATGTTGTGGGTAGCCAAAAAAGTAAAATCCTCCCTCATGCTGGTGAAAGCACACAGAGACCAATCAAATCCTTTCTACACCTCAAAATAACATTCTTATCTCCAAGGCCAACCCTTCTTTCGTTCCTTTGTCACCCCTCGCCGCCGATGCAAACGTTTCGAGCTCACGGAACGATATTCCTCGTCTCCTGAAGCCCCGTTCTAAACCACATATTGGAGCTTTTGATGTTCGAACCTTGTGTCAAATAGGGCAACAGGCTTCATTAGCGAGGACTCTGGAGTCCCGTGCCATCGATGTGTGTTGCTTCTCTGAAACGCGCATTCAGGACCCGAGTAAAATCAATTTGATTTCACCTTGTTCAGATAAAGAACCGTCTCGGTTGCTCCTTCCTGTGGCTTCGCTGGTGTAGATATAGTATTAGGTCCTAGGGCAGTATTTTCTCTCTTAGACCGGATCCTGGTAGACAGTCGCTTATGCGCTGTCCGGCTAAATGGGACAGTAAGGATTCGTAAAGATAGGGTCACTTGCCATTGCCTCTTCGTCGTTTCTGCCTACGTTCCCACTGATTGCAGTTCAGACGAGGTAGAAGATGAGTTTTACAGAAACATTTCTAACTTTCAAAAAGTTAAGCGTTATGATATAGTAATAATGGCTGGTAACTTTAATGCTAAGTGAAAAAAACACCTGGGTGGACCTTATGGTGTGATGGCTCAAAGATCAGATAATGGCGACCGTCTGCTGCAGCTGTGCTCAAATAATCGCCTATTTCTAGCAAACGCTAACTTTGAGCATAAAGAAAAACATTTCTAGAACCGGCAACCCCCAAAGCTGATCTAACTGGACCACATTGCTATCAGCTATCGGTCGAGAGGCTCTATTGAAGACTGCCGCTCATTTTGGAGCACTTGTATAGATTCAAACCATGTTCTTGTGCGCGCATGTATTTATTTGAGGCTTACTGGACGTAGGCAAGACACAGCAAGAAAACCTCTTACGGTTGTACTTAATGATAGCAAAACTAAGAATATATTTCAGGAACAACTCGAAAAACAGTTAGGCGACCATGTAAGTGATTCCTATCCTGAGGCAGCTTGGAACGATATCCAAAAAGCTGTGGTAAAAGCAATTATATCAGCTAGTAAGGTAAACTATAAGGTTAGGAATAAGCCGTGGATCTCTGTAGCATCCACCGAACTGATGGATGCTCGAAAACTCATCCCACCTGGCTCTGAACATGACAAAGAGCGAAGTCTGCCTAGGCACAGCCTGATAAAAAGCCTACGCAATGATCGAGAACACTGATGGGTAACGAAAGCAAAATCGATAGAAAAGGCAGAAGCGATAGGTAACAGTAGACAACTGTTCCGCCTAATCAAGGAGACCGGTATTAGGAATCTGGCTGTGAGACTTTCTTGAAAATGGATTGGCTCATTATTGATTCTCAATCCTGGAGATTAGATCGATGAGCAGAGCACTTTAGGGGTCAGTTCGACTGGTCTTCAGCCACACTTCGATTGCCCACGATCTCCAGTCAACTTGAATGGCAAATCGAAGCAAGTCCTCCGACTAAAATGGAGTTGAAAAAGTTATAGGAAATCTAAAGCGTGGGAGAGTATGAGTCCTAATAGGCTTACATGGGAATCAGTTTAAATGAAATAGAACCTCGACAAAACTAAGAAGCCTAACTAGAGCTCGTGGAGAGGAAACAGGTTTCTGACCTGGACGCGGTTGTATAGACCACATGTGCACTCTACTACAGGTCCTAGAACACAGACACACATTCAGACGTCTGATAATGGTCTTCGTTCTCTACCTTTGGACGCCATATGACTGTCGATCGTGAGGTTCTTTGGCAGCGCCTCATTGGAAGGTGTACCAGAGAAGTACAGTAACCTTGTACAGGCTCTCTCTACTTATGGCAAAATGTCATCGGAATGGATTCCTTCAAGTGCTGCTCGTCAGGGCTGTACAATTTCTCCATTGTTTAACTTTGTCATAGATGTGCTTTTGAGATAACATTATCTTCGTCTGATTTTTCATGGGTGGACTTCTACCAGGAGAGTCGCTTGATAACTTAGGATATACCGATGAAATAGTTCTGCTTGGCATAGACACTGACGAAATGAGGAGTCTTCTGACTACCATAAGCAACTATGCAAGCATGTCCGGTATGAGATTCTCCCCTCGAAATGCAAAGTGTTGCTTCAGGATTGACTTGTGTCAACCTCTGAACTAGTGATAGGGAGTGAAGCAGTTGGGCGTGTTGACCGCTTCTTTTATCTTTGGAGTCTCATCAGTACTGATGGCCTAGTGACTGATGAAATCTCAGCACGGATAGGCTTTTGCCGACTTGCGTCGCTTGTAGCGTAGGTGAGATATCCGTCTGCTAACCAAAGAATGAGTGTACTGCTTAGCAGTTCTCTCTGTCCTATTTTATGGCTGTAAAACCAGTCCAATCAGAGTAGAAGATATTCGTAAGTTACTTGTATTCGATCATAGGTATCTCCAAAACATTGCTCGTTTATCTTGGGACTACCGAGCAGGCAATGCAGTTGTTAGGAAACGAGTACTAGGTAAGGATGGCAGATCGATAGATGATGTGTTGAGGTGGTTGGGACATGTGTTACGTATGCCCAACCACCGACTGCCTCGTCAAGCTATGTTTTGTGGTGTAGAAGTAGGTTGGAAGAAAGCTAGGTGCCGTCAGACCAAAACATGGCAGAAATTCATGAAGTCACTGACTAGTGGATTGAGTCATGTTGGTAAGTTTCGACTACCTGGTTGGTGTTCACGAGGTGATAGTAATGGATGGTTAGAGATCTTGAATGACGTCTCAAAATCGTTTGCAATGGCATAGTTACATTAATTCTTTGTGTCCTCTCAAATCCTAATCTTCTGAATTCCTCATGACCGTTTTGTTTCTCCTTTTTGATTGGTTCGTCTGGGGTGTACTTCTCAATTGATATATTCGATCGTTAATCCTTTTGATAACTGCTTATAGATAGATAGATAGATAGATACAACGCAGAGCTTCGTACATAAGTACATCAGTTCAGGTTGCCATACCACGTCAGCTCAAAGACGTAACTGTCAGTTCAAATCCAACAGTGATAGTGATAGTAGAATTATTAGCAGCAATCGAGAAGATAAGGGAGCGAAGGTGTAATTCGAGAAGTATAATGCAGTGAGATAAATTTAGAAAGAGAAAGATAGAGATTATGAGGAATTCAGAAGGTTAGAATTAGAAAGAACACATAGAATGGATGCACTTGCGCCATCGCAAACGATTCTGAACCATGTCATTCAAGGTCTTTAACCATCGGTGACTATCGTCTCGCGGACCCCAACCAGGTAGCCTACATCTACCAACATGACTCAGTCCACTTGTCAGTGACTTCATGGATTTGTGCCATGTTTTCGTTTGGCCGCCCCTGGCTTTCTTCCAACCTACTCCTACACCAGAAAACAGCTCGTCACGGCAGTACGTGGTTAGGGATAAACAGCACATGTCCCAACCACCTCAACTGATGAAGCTTCACTACTTCATATATTGATTTGCCATCCCTACCTAGAACTCGTTTCATAACGACAGCATTGCTTATATGGTTGTCCCACGGTATACGAGCAATGCTTCGGAGGGACCGATGATCGAAGACTAGTAACCTGCGAAAGTCCTCTACTCTTAACGGCCATGTTTCGCATCCGTATAGTAGGACAGAGCGAACTGCTGCGCAGTACACTCGTCCTTTGGTTAACAAGCGGATATCTCGCCTACGCCATAAGTGACGCAGGTTGGCAAAAGCCAATCGAGCCTTCTGTATCCGTGCTGAGATTTCGTCAATCACCAGGCCATCGGTACTGATGAGACTCCCAAGATAAGTGAAGCGGTCTACACGTTCGACTACTTCACTCCCTATCACTAGTTCAGGTGCCGATGCCATCCAATCTTGAAGCAACATTTTGCATTTGTATGCATTGATTGTTTTTGAATGCATACACACAACTAGCTATGGTGAACACCTTGTGTATTGTTTTTGTTTAGATTTCGTAAATTTCACACATATTTCTGTGTATTTAACCTAAACATATAAATATTAGAATAAAGGAGCATTGAAATATTTATACACCATATAAATCAATCAAATTGTTAGAGAGAGGGGATACGTGTCTAACTGTCAAAACCAAAGTACGTGGTTATCTTTAGGGATTCATTCACCAACTAGCCTTTCAAAAACAGATCTAAGTCAGAAGGAAGCGGAGTAATGTCACCAGATGCAGCCTAATGGCAGCCGGTGACCAACATCAGGCTTATATATATATGTATATTGTTCATTTCATCAGGATGCTGAAACCTATGTGAATCACGGATTTTAGTAATGAGGGTTTTTCAACTCTCCCCCCCCCTAGATGAATCCACTTTACTCAACAACTCAGTTTAATCTTCCGTTAGACATTCAAATTTCTTCTTCCCATCTCAATAACCAACACATATGCGATGAGAAGACAGTGAGCGAGTAAGAGTTTCGTGACAGTGGCTATATACACATTGCCATATGAAAGTGTTGAGGATGTTAGATCCCCGAAATTTGCTTGATAAATGCTTGATAACTGCTTATACTTCTACTACTATGAGATTTGAAGTGGCAATTGCTTCTCTGTTCTAATGCGGTATGGCAACTTGAACTGATGCATGTACGCACGAAGTTCTACACTGTAACTGGCTGATTTTATGTGTCATGATGTTGTTCAGTTCTTGACCTTGGGGTTTTATAGAAAGGCTTACAAGTTAACCTCTTCTGTTCTGATTCATCAGATACAGTCAGTCCATGAGAAATTCCGGTCCCCTGCAACGTTTTCTTGTCATGTTGAATAAACTTCAGTTGTTTTTATTTTCAGTCCTATTCAAACAAGGATGAAATAAGCGAACTTAATGTTCTTCCAGAGCCTGCTGAAGGTCTAAGCTTGAAAGCTCAAAATCGGTACCTGAAAGCAAAAGTTCGTGTACTTTTAGAAGAAAATCAAAAGCTCAATTCACAGATGACTCATCAGGTTCGTTTCATTGTTATTTATCAACTACTTATATTTTTACTCGTGTCATTCGTCTAAAATAGTTAAAAATGTCAAGCGTCGACTTAGATGATTTGTATACTGCTTTGGGTCTTTATATTTCTAAAGCTTTCCAGCAACAAGGAAGCAACACACATCAGTAGAACGTGGAAAATGTATATTATCTTTTTAACAAGTAGGTTACATTAGGGAACTACTGAAATCTATTTGGTAACGGTTTAGTCTTACTATATGAATTTTCACGTATCGCTGTCGGAACTAAATGTTGTTAAGGTGTCGTTACTTCATAACTAAACGGTAGGATTTCCTGGTTTTTTTAGAAGAGGCTCTTCCCAGTGCTCATCAACTTATTCCATTTTCTTTACGTTTAAAGCTACCATTATTACTCTAAAATAGCGAGAAAATGTTATTTTAAACGTTATAAGCATTATATAAAGATATTTCTACTGCCTTTTATACTTCATATTTAAATGTCACAAAAAGATGAAAAGTTACGTTCACGATTCTGTTTGTCTTGTTTCTTTATGCTATAATTTTACCATATTTCGCCCTATGTTAGTTTTTATTCGATTTCCTTGGTAAATCTCTATCTTTATTTTAGAATGATGAAATTGTTCGAATGAAAAATCGTATTCAAGAATTAGAAGAGGAACGTAATCGATTACATCGAGTTACATCTGCACATTCAACTCAGTTAGAAAAAATGAAAAAAAGTTTAGGAGAAACACGCATTCACTGTAATGAACTAGAAACAGAGAAGACGAATTATAAAAAGGTATATTATATCCAGTTAATGTTTGCAATTATTAAATCCTGCACTTAGTTACTGACTGTAATTGTACTATGTTAGCCCATTGTAATTTCCTTATGACTTTTGTTTATATTTTTCTGTTTGATAGATTTGTGTTTGTTTGACTAGTTACGAAGTTTAATGCACTAAAGAATCTAATAATAGGTTAAAGAAATACCGGTCAAGGTCTATATAGGCACGTAAATAGGGATATGATATTGAACATAAACCAAACGGTAAATATAAAATCCTAATAGCTTTATCAATGTTCCGAATGTATTATTTATTATTGAAAAATTATATATCATTGTTTAATTGTAATGTACTCATCCATATTCCTATTGAACTTCATCGTATTAAAACTAATTGGATTTCGTTTATTTTAAACAGGATTATGATTCAATTAAACGTAGTTCTGATCAGCAAGCTGTTGAGATCAAATCTTTAACTACACGTCTTAACCGTGCGATTGAAGAATCTGATCGTTATAAAGCTGATTTAGACAAGGTTCGTTCATCTACACGTGAGAGTGTCGAATCTATGCGTCGTAATATTGAAAATATAATGGCTGAAAATAAACGTTTAGAAAAGCAGAAATCCGAGTTAATATCAGCATTTAAAAAACAAATGAAATTGATTGATATATTGCGTAGACAAAAAGTGAGAATATAATAACTTTTTAAATGCATAGAAATGTTTATTTTGTAAAAGCATTTTTTTAATATTCTCATTGCTTGAAACTATATAACTGAGAGATGACATTTCAGAAATGTATTTTTGGGAAGTTGTCGGTGGTCAGGCTAACAGTCAGTCACTCTTGTGCAGTTGTGGCAGAATGAAACTGTCGCAGACAGAAGTATTTTTAAGGCTATCCGTTAAAACGAATCCTTTAACCTAAATACTTATCAAAAAAGTGAACCTTAGTTACTCATTAATTCTGCAATAGACGGTTGTTGGATATAAATTATATGAAACGTGTAACATAGTGCGGAAGAAAAACAAAACAGATAAAAATATTTTCCTGTTCTGCTTTCCTCCGAACGGGAGCAGTTCGACTGGTCTTCAGTCACATTTCGCCTACCCACGATCTCCAGTCAATCTGAATGGCGGATTGATGTAAGTCCGCCAACTCTAAGTGAGATTGAAAAGCCTATAGGCAATCTCGAACGAGGTAGAGCAGCAGAACCTGATAGATTAACCCCTGAGATTTCTAAGGATGGTGGACCAGTTTTAGCAGTTAAATTGACTGGGATATTAGCTAGGATCTGGTCGAGCTATGTTTTGTGGTGTAGGAATAGGTTGGAAGAACGTTAGGGGCGGCCAAACGAAAGCGTGGCAGAAATCCATTAAGTCACTGACAAGTGGACTAAGTCATGTCGGTAGGTGTCGACTACCTGGTTGGGGTCCGCGAGATGATAGTAATCGACGGTTAGAGATTTTGAATGACGTCTCAAAATCGTTTGTAATGGCGCAGATGCATCCATTCCTTGTGTTCTCTCAAATCCTAAACTCCTTAATTCCTCATCACTTTATCTTTTTCTTTTAAAGTCTCTTACTAGATTCTACTTCTTGAGTAACTTCTTCGAACCCTAATCTCTCCAATTACTGCTAATACCTTTTCCATCTCTACTACTATGGGATTTGAATTGACAATTACATCTCTGTGCTAATGTGGTATGGCGACTTGAACTGATGTACGAAGTTCTACGTTGTTGTTGATTGATTGACTGGACGTAATCCCATCTGACTGATCTCTATCGCCGGTTGTCCAGGAGTTGAACATTTACCGGGAGATTCACTTATCAACATAGAATACGCTGATGACAGTTCTATTTGGTGAAGACGCCGACGAAATGAAGAGTCTTCTGATCACCTTAAGCAACAACGTATGTTTGGGAAGCGATTCTCACCCTCGAAATGGAAAATGTTGCTTCAGCATTGCTTGTGTATCTTGGGAAATCGAGTAAGCGATGCTGAAGTTAAGAAAAATCTACTTGGTGTTAAGGATGGCAGATCAATAGGTGAAGTAGTGAATCTTCATCAGTTGAGGTAGTTGGAACGTGTGTTACGTATACGCAACCGTCAACTGCCTCGAAGAGCGATGTTCCGTGATGTAGTTGTGGTCTGGAAAAAAGCTACAGCTGGCCAAACCAAATCATGGCACAAATCGACGAAGTCGTCGACATTTGGAATGAGCCATGTAAGTAAATGTAGACCAACTGGTTGGGTCGGCGAGACAATCTAAGCGATTGTTAGAGACTGAATGACATGATTCAAAATCGTCTACAGTGGTGCAGATGCATTCAATCTCTGTCTTATCTTAAACTCTAATCTTCCGAATTCCTCATGACCTTCATCGTTCCCTGCTCAAATTTATTTCACAGGATTATACTCCTTGAATAATATCTTCGACCTTTTATCTTTCCGATTACTGTTTATACTTGTACTACCACTACGGGATTTGGATTGAAAATTGCATCTGTGTTGATATGGTGTGGCATCTTGAACTGATGTACGTACATACCAAGTTATGTTGCAGCTGACTGACCTAGTAATCTACTATTCTGTCGAAGCTAATGTTATAGTCTACATTTTGTTGAACAAATTATGTGGTACACCAATAATATAAATATTATCCTTCTGTGTATTTGTTCCAGATGCTTGTTGAAGCTTCGAAGTGTTTACATATCACAGAAGAGGAATTTATGAAGGCTCTCGATTTGTGAATGTATAACAGAAGCAGTTTCCTCGTAATATATCAATTTTCGACTAGAACTATTTCATATCATCAATAATTATTTACATTTTATATGTTTTTTCATTTAATTTTTCACAGTTGTATTGTTTTTACTTTAGATTAAATATACATTTGCTATCAAGAAGATGTTATTTATTATACTTACCTTATATTTTTCGCATTCATATGACATTATTTGTGTTGCTCTAGTTGATGATAATTAACAAAACTGTTAAATCTTTTCTCTTTGGACTAAATCGTTGTAACTTATATTTTTTTTAATTCAGTTAATTTGTTACGATTTCAGATTTTTTTCATAAACCATCAACGACTATATTTCGTTCGGGAATCGCTCTGCTAACTAAAATGTGTGAAATGAATATTGAATAGTGATATCACGCTAAGCAGAACAAATGAATGGTAATTTTTTCCTATGGGACCGATTTATGATAGTAGTTGTAAAATTTGTATTGCACATGAAGAATTCTTTGTAGTGCTTTCCAAGTGCCATTTAATAACCGGTATACCATCTGTTGGTTAAATATAAGGAAGAAATAACAGTCGAACCACCACTTGGTGTTTCGCGTGACATCTTGATTATTTTCAGCTATCTGGCCTGAGATTCAAAACAGTTCTTTTGATAAGTCTAGACACTACAATGAGATAAAGTTTATCGGAACTATATAATATATAAACGCCATATATGTTCTCTGAGCTCAGAGAACAAAACACCACCACAATCATCCACCTGAGCTACAAGTTTTCTCCACCATCTCAAAACGCCATATATTTCGAACAATTTGACCAGGGCTTTATTGTATTGTACTGATCGACTACATAGGTCTGATAAACTTCGTTTTCTCTTTGCGTTATCTATACTTTCGTGGTTTCTTCAAAACTTGTTACTCGCTGTAATGATTGTGCTATTTTTACTCAACCGGCTTGAAGGGAACTCAATGTAAGTCCACTCATAATAGCATGATTCCGATCAGAAATTATTTACGTAGTAAAGTATGCTTCAATATGTACCGTAGAACTTGTTGTCTTTAAGATGTCACCTAGGAGATTCTTTCAGTACCTGATTTAGCTAATAAATTTAGTACTTTACAGTAATAATGATTATTTAACTTTAGAAAATTGATCAATTAGTGATTTCAATATCATATGAAACTGTTGTACGTCTCAATGAAGTCCTATATGGTTAAGTTCACAAGTAATTTCATGTTTTGTCAGTTTAATGACTACTGTTACAGGAAAACACAATTCTGAAAGTTTGAAAATAAAAAACTAATGAATCTTGGCAAATACCTTGGCAAATAAATCATCACTTTTTTAAACTAATTACATCAGTACTTACTATAGACCCTCATCGATTCAAGAAAGTGCCTGTAAATATACATAAATCGATGAATTTTGAAGGAAGAGTTGCGATAACATTTAAGAAATTGAAGGTAAACAGTTGAAAGCTACCCCAGATGCGACTGTACACCACTGTTCATCTTTTTTCTATCTTTCTTACAGAACATTTTATGCCTAATTCAGAACTCCTTCAAGATCAGCTATCTAATTCAGTTCCGAATGTCTTATCGTTTGATACTTTAATCAGTCAAGGAGCAGAAGCGCGACTGTATCGCACCAGGCTGTTCCATTCAACATATACCTTTCCATGTATTGTTAAGGAAAGATTTGTTAAGCGGTATCGTCATAGTACATTAGATGCCACTTTGTCTATGCAGCGAATGCGAGCCGAAGTCAGGCAGTTGCTACGCTGTAGAGAAGTGGGAATAGATGTCCCTCCAGTCCTTCTAGTCGATGTTAAACGACGCCGAATTTGGCTTGGGGAAGTTGGTCCAAATGCTGTCACACTTCAAGATTGGTTTAGAAAATTATCTACTCTTGCAATTGGGTCGGAACTATCCATCACAAATATCCAGGAGGAAACAGCTTCATTGTTGCGAAATCTAACAATGGCATTGGGTCGACTACTTGCTCAGCTACATTCTAATCATATAATACACGGTGACTTAACTATGGCCAATATTCTTGTTCAGCAGGTAGTTTTGTGCAAACATTAATAAGATTATTTTAGTTCAGTCGTGATTTGTTACTCACTTGAGTAAATGTATTACTAAAAAGCTATCATTGTATATATTTTGAATTGTGTGCGATTGCATCCATGCAGTGTTTAAAAGACCAAATCAGGCTTTTTTATGGGCGAATTACTGGCTTATTTGATTTATTTCTCACTTATCAATATGTATTACATTGTTATGTAGCTGATTGGCGATAATGATTCGGTTATCATCAACTAGATCACAATTGGGAAACATTCCATGTTTTGTATTATTTTATCATTTGTACATATAATTATTAGTACAAAGAGACGCCTAAATATTTTATGATTCACACAAACCAGTGGATTTGTGTATGGTTTGGGATACTACTCGAGTGTCTCAGTTGATTTTCTTAGATCGGCACTCCCGAGCCTTTGACCCCAGTGATCTAATCCACAAGACAGTGGAACAACATTAGGAGGTGCGGTCCTATGGTAACTAGTGACCAATAGAAAGTTCATGCACTATTTGTTCCTTGAGTATCCTGGAACCCATGTGCACCATTGATTTTAAATCAGGGTTTTCCAATCCCGGTTAAAGCGCCGAATGTTCGCTTACCGTCCTCTCAATTTCGTAAACAACACCCTTGTTACTAGAAGGCGATGATTAAAGCTTCTTTGGCAGTGACTACACACATGTGGCCATATGAGAGCACTTCGAGAAGGAAGGCGGACTCTCGGCTGTACCAGGGCATCTTATCTGTCCTTCTAGTGTAGTATTGATGATCCTCAGAGAATGGTTTTTAGTTGACTACCTGGAAACTAACTATATAGGAATAACGAGTACATAGATTCCAGCTGTCTAATCTCCCTTCGTTGAACATGTTAGCGCAAAAGAACCACAAATTTTGGCAAGTAAAATCTTGTTCATATAAATGCTTTTTCTTCTAAACGAACATAAAAAAAGGAAACTACTGATATTGGTTGACATATGTCTTCTTCTGATTGCGTTATGACATTTGATTTCGGTACAGTGGTAACTAGATGCTTACTGAGTGTATCATTATTGGTATATTAGTAAACTATGGAGTCATAGGATAAATTTGGAAAAGTATTGTTGTTTAACTCATTCTTTGCTGTGTATCATCACTTAAGCAATGAAGAGGTTGTTTCCTTTACTATTTTTATTACTAACTTTCTTTATCCAACATTTCTTTATAATTTCAGATAGTTAACAGTAATAAGGAATCCAGTTTTCGAGTCGTTCCTATAGATTTTGGACTTTCAAGCTCTTCTTCTGGACTAACTTCTCAGCGTTTAGCAGAGGATAAGGCTGTGGATTTGTATGTGTTTGAACGGGCCTTAACGTGTGGTCTTGATCATAAAGCCCTGGCAAAAGTTACTGCTGATCACTCCGATTTTAATACTCCGGAATCTCTTCTAAAGTTAATTATAAAGTCCTATCGTGATAATTATGTATCAACAGCACTGGATGACCAACAGATAAGCTCTAAACATGATAATACAAAATCAGGTTATCATTTAGAGAAACAAGAAAACGAAGTCAAAGACATTTTAAACAAATTAGAGGATGTTCGACTCCGTGGTCGTAAACGTTTGATGATCGGTTGAATCACATTTTATGGCTGCGTTAAGTGATAACTTTCTGAAAATCCTAAAAACATTTATGCATATACATTGTTTGAGTAATTGTATTTTATGATTTCTAAATCCTGAAGATTATAATCGACCAATTTTGTTACTCTCAAAATCTTAAAATCCGAAGAGGAGCTTGTCTATTATATGAGATCACTCAAGAAAACCAAATTAGCGGTGAGAATTCAAACACTTTGAATTGTGAGTCGTCCGAATGTCTATCACACAGTAGTTTGATAAGAAACTTAGGATACGCACTAAAACTCCGAGGATATCACAGTACTATATCGAATTTCAATTGGCAGACTATGTCAAGTGGTCTACTGGAAATCCAGCATTCCTTAATAATCGAGGTGTGCGCAGAGGAAACTGAGGGTTTGTGGAACGTAAACGTGCGTTACCCAGTTTGACAGTAAGATGTTATCGCTAGGCTATGCCTGAATAATGGGTAAGGTATTCAAAAAGCGCATGGGTAGTTTCAGTGAGTAATATGAATTATCAAGTCTCAGAATAAATGCTATTATAAGTAAGGAAACGATTTAATACTTAATGCAGGGTCAGTTAGTAAAAGCGTTCAACTTTCGGTTACTAAGTTCCTGTTTTGAACCCAGTTATTACTACTTGGGTTCAGACAATCGTGTAGTATTACTAGCCTTCACATTTATGGTGTATCACAAAACCAAGTGCTTAGTGAATGATACTATTGTATCAGTACTGTGTGACCTGCCTAACGTCCTCACTTTAGAAATTATCGAGTACGAAATAAACTACTGCACATCAATAAGTAGTATATATTTACTATAAGTTATTGAGGTAGAGGTAAATGAAGTTAGAAATTAGAAAAATGACTTAATAGTCAGTATTCTATGGGAATATAAATATTTACATCCAGTTTATTTATGATTGATTAAGACTGAATAGATATTGAATACATAATATCTGATATGAAGGTAGACGTTGTACTCTACCGTCAGATTGTATAAAATATGACTTGAAAGGGAAGTTAGTATTCCTACAAGATTATTATTAACATAACTAAAGACCTGGAAATTATTGTGGTCTGTCTAGGTTTATTCACAGTCTATGGTGGACTGTAAATCGTCCATTGTTCAAACCATTAATGTTAATGGTCAAAATAGTTATAGTAATAAAAGCCGTCATAATTAATGACCCAGTTACAAATCATTTTACGGTGCAAGTTTCGCGTGCATTATTTCATTTTAAGTACATGTATGGGTTCTGTCAGTAGCAAATTTCGACTGCTTTTATTTAGTGACAATAAACTTCGCTTAGCTGACAACTGTTAATGATGCGAAGCCATGTGTAATTTTTTTTAATTTTAGTCCTGGTAAATTAAAGTTCTTTCAAACTGTCGTTTTTCGGGGGTTCACGCATGAGTAGAAGTCAACAGTAGCCGAATTGCGGTTAAAATAGCTTCCATAAAATTCTGCAGTATTATTTTCTTTCAATAAAATGTCACATGCTCTTCTGTCCAGTATTTTAAAGGTGTTTTGATGGGTTTCCTAATCCTGATAGTTTAAGAAACGTAGTTAATTTCTTTATTAGATTTAACGTTCCTATAAGCGATATCTGGAGATTATTCCAGTTTCTAGGCTTGATACTTTTATAATTAATGGAAACGATTTCGTAGATTATTTTCACCAACCCTATGTGGTAGTGACAATTAAATCATGAAGCTATTTGAACTCATGACTACAAACAAAGTTAAGATTAAGACCTTCAAGTTTAAACAATTACCTCATGAAACTAGTACATATCAGGAATTTCTTTGAAAGCTTGTACAGACAAAATCGTGTGACAGTTGCTCATAACGAAGTTACTTCGTGAACATTTCTGTACTTACATGATGGACCAGTTCATTCGCTTAATTTTAACCTGTTCACCAGGTGTACACTACAACTTTTTAATGAATGCATTATTCATACAACCGTTTTTCAAATGAAGAGTAACCTGACTTGGTATCTAACTCTTTATTGGTTTCAATAAGTGGTCCTAAGAATAGATTTGTGGTTTAGTTTCGTCATTTTCTTATCGATTCATGGTTGGCGATTTTTACGTATAGTAAGATGTAATGTCAAAGTTGAGAGAAATCAGACACCTGTTCAGAACATGCTTTTAATATTTTATCTTTCAGTGGATGAATTAGTGTCATCGATTATAAATTTGTCGACGAAGTTAGGTTTATTCTAAGTTAGATAAATTAAATTTACATTGTATTATATGAAATAAATAGAATATATTTATTTGAGTAAACATTTCCGCTAATCCTCCTACATTAAACTTAAAAGTTCTATTTTTTCTAAGCCTAAGGTTACCTAAAAACTCTCATTTAAATGAATATTATTTGGCAACATTAAAAAATATAATAAGACTAAAGGACTAATTGTTCAATTGTTAACGCTACTGTCAACAAAAGAAATTAAATACGGTTGTAGATGTGTGAAAATTAGTGTCGCAGAAATATTCATAGTCATTCTGTTATGGTAAGACAATTTAAATCATGTTTTTAATGATCATCTATTTTAGTGTAAAATAAGCAATAATAGATTAGTGAAAGGTATCTTATATTCATGAAATGATTTAAGTTTCGAAATATTTGCCAAACACTATGTGAGTAAAACCGAATAATAAATCAAAAGATACTTAAATGTATGCAGGAATAAAATATACTCATTCCTACATATTTCCTTAAATCCATTTGATACAATGCATTATTTTCTGATTAATTTAAACAACAGCGTAATAATGCTTACAAATTTAGTATAAGTTATGTATACACACATACATGTTTAGCCTAATGATCATCATTACAATCAACACGTGATTTGTTACTAAGCTTATTTTAAAATATGTAATCATAATATATTGTACATGTAATCATTTTGAAAAAAAAAAGCAGAACAGGAAATTTATTTCCCTTGTTGATTGACGTCTCCAGTTTATTTTAATCAATCTTCCTGCTGGCATAAAAAATTTTATTAGATTATAAACATTTGAAATTCATATTACAAACCATTAAACGCAATGAAAACAAACAAAGTTAAACAAGGAGGAGGAGTAAACTAGATTTTTTAAAAATAATAAAGGCGAACAGATGAATAGACAGTAAAGTAGAAGGAGAAATTCTTCATTTTTCTGAATTTTAAATGGAAACTAACCTGCACTCAGTATTTAAGTAGTGAGCTTCGTGATTATATTAAAATAGGCTTGGGAAGAAAAAATTAGGGGGAAAGACCCGCATTATTTTACTGTTCACATTATTATGAAGCATAAACACTTTACCTGTTGTTGTAAATGTACTATACATTTTACTGAAAAGCCAAATAAGAAAATAAATGATCGAAAACAGAGGCGTAGTAACTAATTGTTCTTTTTCCAAATCAGTGTAAATTTAATTAAGGCAAAGAAGAGCAGATGATGGCAATCAAACATGAGAATAATTTACTTACAGTTGTAGGATTAATGTAAGTAGTTAGTTAAGTTTTTAGTCAACGAAACAATAAAATTGCTAACATAGGTAATATTTCATATAGTTTGATAAGGATCGATTTTCAGAATGAGTAACTGATTGCTTTAATTACTAAGGAATTCCTTCATCAAGTGAACATATTTCATTGAAACAACATTATTATATCGAAAAGGATAAATGGAGAAGTTAGATATCGAATGTCAACAACCAGTAATTATGATAGTTTAACCTTTTATGGTTTGAAATTGGTAATGTGAAATTTCTAACAAATTGCTTCGAAATTCTAAAATTCCTATCTAATCTAAAAATATGAAAATGAAGCAGTGAACGACTGTATTTTTATTGAAATTATTTATATTCAATTCATTCTAGTCTAATGACTACATTAAAAATATAGTTTCTATTATTTATTATGTTAAAAACTGTATTAAGTGCTTCTTTTCTTTGTGAATTTTAATCTTACTGATAGTAAACATTAAATTTCATGAAATAGTTTATACATTCAAAGCACTATTTAAAGCATAACTATCAACCCAATGGTATTAAACAATTTCAAATCAACTTATCTTCTACTTGGTTTTTTTTTTAAAGTAATTATGCTTTTAACTTGGAAAACAGAAGCAATTATTGATCTGATTCAAAAGCATAGTAACTAAGCTTTTACTACATTAATAAGAGAGTATAATTAAGGGTTCAATGAAATCATCTAGGAGAGAAAGAGAGTATGAGGGATAGTAAAAGAAAAAATTACTAAGTGAATATTGTTAATGAAATCAAAGGATTAATTTTTGAAAATGTCAAATAAAAAATTTAAATAATGACAATGAACAACTCAACAAAAAGGATTGAGTAACAGGTGAAAAATGTATATTTCTTCGTAGAGATATTATTCGAGTATTGGTAACATATTGACTTGATATCTGCAAGAAACCGGAAAATAAAACTAGGGTGTAGTAAGTCCTTGTCTATATTAGATAGGTATAATATTCACTTATGGAAAATCATTGGGTACATCAGACAAAACAGTCAAAAGTAAAAAATTAGCAGATCATTAGTGTTTACTTCCGGAAATCGAACATTGAATCGAGCACACTAAGTTCGACTTTTGAAGTTTTTCTGATTTATTTGCTATTGCCGATTAGTTTTGTTAATGACTGATAATAAAGCAATAGAATGGAGACAGATCCTTAGCCTTCAGATATAGAATAACAAGTTAAAACTATTTAAACAGCTATTCATAGACTAGGTTTATAAAGGTCTGGTTAATTTTTAATAACCTAAGTATGGAAAATTGTCAAAAATAAATTAGAGATAAATTTACTTTTTCCAGTTGGAACAATGAAAGTCTAGTAAATTTCTGTCGATGCTTATTTCAAATCGAATAGTCTGTTTCAGTTCAACAATGAGAGAGGTTGCGAACTGGTTAGAGCGTTCCACTCTCAACCACTGTGTCATAAGTGTGAGTTCTATTTCACTTTGGATAAGCGAACATTATCACATGAACAGTTTGGTTCAAACACTTTTTTCTCAGTTTTTGTGATCATAAGTTTAGGGAATATAGTCGAAAAAACAACTCTAATTAGTAAATTCGCCTATACACCTGGATTTTAGACCGA